TGCCCCGGTGTGTGGGCAAAGGAAGGTGTTAAATTATAATAATGGAGTAATTAAGAGACAAGCGAGTATGATTAAGCCCCTGTGAGGTAACCCAGACGGGTTAAGTGACATGCCCCGGGTTGCACAACGAGTCAGTGGCGGGGCAGAACGGCATTTGTCCACCCGGACCGGCCCGAGCCAAGCGGGAGAGCCGTCTGCCTGCCTGCCTGCCTGCCTGCCTGCCTGCCTGTCTGTCTGTCTTCACAGGCATCGGAGAGGTCCGTGGGGGTGTCCTGATGGGGCAAGAGGCGAGGGGAGGTGACTGAATGTCTCCTTGAATCATTAACAGGAACTGCTGCTGTGAAGATTAAATCCTTTCATGTAATCTAAACTGAATTTAAAAAAAAAGGTGGAGTTTCTTGCCAGATCTTAGCAGTTTGACTCATTTCACCCTAATGATATAAACTCAATAATTGCACGTACTCCCAAGTATTCAAAAATTATGATGCAAGCTTTTGAGTAGCATAATGTCAGCTTAAAAATCAGGTTTAAAAAGGTTTTAAAATATGCAATTAGGTGGGTAGGGTTTTTTTTCTACTTTCTTCCTGGCCTTGAAAGTATATTTGGGTCACATCCATGGCGCATCAGGAACTTGGCTATTGGTTTAAAATGGATGCTGAGATGCTCCTTTAATGGGACTTTAAGAACAGGGATTTCAGGAAAACACCAGTATGGCAGGACTCATAAATAAAGCTGAGAGAGCTGGCAACGCCGCTATGCGCTGCTATTTGTGGCTGTTAGTAAATGTACAAAACACTGTTAGAAACCTACTACTTCTATCCGTGAGAAAGTGAGAGTCTCTCTTGGCCTACAGGGCGCAGCTTTGCGGCGGACCCTGGCCATGCAGATATGAGGCTGCTTTAATAACAAATTGAAGCTATAGGGTTGAGTTTCTCACTTGCTCAACTTCACAGTTCCTTACTCTAGACCGGGATTTTTTGAGGTTTCATTGTGAACATTGTTTCTTCCAGAAAGGTGATCCTATTTTTTCTACTGTGAATGCTGTAGTCACCATACTCCACACAGTGTAGAAATGGGTCAAGAACTCCTCAGTGCTCACTATTAGGTGTATACAGAGCTGAATGCTTCCAGTCCCCAAATTGTCAAGATCAGTTGAGGAAAGAGTTTCTTCTCTCTACAGTAGTAATGTCACCGTTTCCTTCTGCTACAGCACTTCTCTTCCTTCCCCTCCCCTCCCTTGCAGCGGTCAGTCAGCCAGTTCACAGGCCGAAGTCCAACTTCGATTGATCTTTAAATTGCTGTTCATCACTTTGACGAAAATTTTATAGTCAGAACTCTGTAGCCGTCTTTGGCAAACCCTTCATGTCTCCGTGGCACAATTTGGACCCGTGCTCTGCGTCTACCTGCCAGTCGGCCAATCTCCCCTTAATGACCATGGAACCCATCAGCCAGTTTTAGCCAAATTGGGCAGAAAGGTTAAAGTCTCAAAGTAGGAAGTTGGCTGGCTTATGGATGACATTTTTTTCTGATCAGCACACAGGCTGCTCTGAATCGGACACAAACCCTACTGCCCTTTGCCCAGTCTGTGTTTAAAGGACATAGTAGGGAACTGTGGGAAGAAAGAAAAATACACTGAGGGAGCCGCTCTCTCACAGGGCGGATGGGAGGGGTTGGCAGGGTTATTGCGGTGGGCACAAACCTCTGGGAGACCAGGCTGCAGGTGGCTTACAAAACAACCCGTCACACGCTTGTTTGTGTGAAGCCCGTGTAGACAATGCAGCCGTTGTTTAACGTAACTGCAATATAATATTGTTTTATTGAGCGGCAATATACACTTTACAGTAGATTTCTATAATGATGTAACGACGAGAAGTTCAAGCTCCCCCACCCCCCATGCAACTTTAGCTTCAACCCTGCTTCTGCACTAAGTGAAGAAGTGCTTCAACCATGCTTCTGGCTGTGATAAAGCCAGAAATGTGACTTGGGCTTTGCTAGCTGCCAGCCCAGGAGAACGTGGGTTATGGCAGAACGGAGGAGGGATCATACCTGGGTTACCACCGTGAACTGGTGCTCTCCTGTCTTACGGGAAGCTGGCACTCTGAATCGACAAAAATGGAAGAATGAGAATGAAAACCGAGCTGATGGCAGCCTGCGGTAGTTGAACATTAGAAGCTTAAAAGAGTTAATCTCAACGCAAAAATCACTTATGATGATTCCCACCCAGAGTTTTGTCATGCAAACATTACTTTCCCCAATGCAGTATGCCACAGGCCCCACATCTCATGGGTCTTGTGTGGTCCATGTATGGCTGAGGTCACCCACGGGGACGATTCGGAGCTGCAAGTAACTGTGACCCCGGCAGATCCATATAATCAGGTACCATGATAGGAACGCAGCTTCTCCCCTCTTCTTGAGCGGGGAGAGTAGATAAAAGGAGATGCAGAAGAAGAGGCAGCACTGCCCTGAAACACTCACAGTCTAAGTAGGCACAATGAGTGAGCGAGGCTTTCAAATGGCCTCGGGGCTGGCCTAACTTTATTCCTGTTGAAGTCAGTGATAAAACTCCCATAAACGGAGCCTTTCTGAAAATCCCACCCTTGGGGCATTGAAGTACTTAAAGGAAGAGACTGGAAATCGTGCAGGCTTTAGATTCAATTTTGATCAGTTTTTTTATATGTATTTCAGTGGGCCCAGCCATGGGACGGCGATAAGAAGGGCTCCTCTGTCTTTCCGTTTTGCGCACGCGCGTTCCTTAAGCAAAATGTGTAGGAACAATTATACTGCGGTTTTAATTCCGCCTCTAAAGTGCAGTATCATGAGCACACACGTGCTGCGTGGAGCTGTGAAGAACTAACTGGTACCGTGACTTAAGTGATAAAGGCTGCACGGGTGGGAGAGCAGGGAATTCTGAAGAGGGCAGATAATCTTGCCGTAAAGGCCCAGAGCTGGCACTCGGGAGATCCAGTTTTATTTCTCAGTTCTGACACGGGCTTCCTGTATGACCTCAGCACAGTCATGTAATTGCTCGGTGCCTCAGTCCATCATCTCTTTAATAGGGTTACTACTTACTTATTTCCTTTCTCCCGCCCTGGCCTGCCTTACTTGGGCTATAATTCTGGCAGGGAGTGGAGCGTTTCTTACCACGTGCAGGGCCTTCACCCAGTACAATGAGACCGGACGGCAATGCCTGTGCAGCAATGCAATGCCAATTAAATAAATAAAGGAGGATGATAATATCATTTAGGACTAGATTTGCAGCCTGTAAGGTCAAAGTGCTACGCTTCCCTGCAAGCTCAGGACCTAAGGAAGTGCTCCATGGGGAGGTTTCTCCACTGGTCAAAATCAGTCCCAAGGAGTACCAGGTTTTGGGAAAGGGCTGAGTATCCATCACAGCTTTGCAGCCGGCCTTCTCCAGCTGACTGCTGGAAGCCACAAGTAGAGGCTTCTGGAAGCCACAAGGAGAGACTCCTCGGAGATGTGGCATTGGACTAAGTGTCTTCTTACCTTGTCTGATCTCCATTCCTGGCTCTTCAGCGCTACTGCAGTTCTCCTCCCCTACCAGCTGCTAAATCATGCCCATGAATGCCAGTATCACAACTGCAGAGTAGCTGGTGTCTTTTTGAGCCGCCTTGCATTCCTGTCAGGGGCCACGTTACAACAAAAGCCACGGCAGGGCACGCAACGTCGTGACCCAAAATGGAGCTGCAGGGAAAACTATTTCCATTACTCGAACCTGCATTCATTCTGATTAATTCAGTGTCTCCTGCTATATTTAGATAACTGAGGATTAATTGCATGCATACTGAAATGCTGTCCCCTGTAATAAAATCATGCCGAACTATTCCTAACTTGAGTGCCACTTGAATTCGAAACCCAACCAGACCCTGAGGGCCTTAGCCCTTCCTTAGCAGGACGTGTAAGGCATGTAGGATCAGGGCCTTGCCGTTTTCCAATCAAACCAAATGGTTTTCAAATCTCATTGCTTGTCTATAATGCTAACTAAATCAGGAATAATTTAATTTGACTGCTAATTCCACCTAGCCGTGCTTCAGAAGCACACCTGCCTCTCGGTGCATGTGGTTATCTGCATCTGGTATCGGAGGGAACACTATTTTTGTGCTAAATGTAGTCGCTAGTTGAGGTCGGTACAGAGCTAGGTGAGAACTGATACATATACATTGCTATGTAATGTATTTATAACTACAGCTATATTAATAGCTCTATATTCCTTGGCTTTGTGGGTCACCCCTTTATGCAACCCGTAATTAAGCACATCTTCAAGTGAGCTACTTGGGAGGGCTTTCTGCCAGGGCCCGGCCTGTGAGGAGGAAGGACAGCCGGATTGCGTTCACGTGGGGACGTGGCTGAACACGCTTCCCCTGTCACCCGCAGGCGCCACCAACGATTCCAAAAAATGGCTAAACCGGGCTCTGAATTTGAAGTTGACCAGAATAACTCGCGCGCCAGCAATTGAT